GGGTTGAAGTGGAGGATGAGGCTGGGCCCAGGGCGCACAGGCTTGTGGGCCACGGCCGGGCATGGGGAAGAGGCAGGAGGGCTGGTTGCTTTCCGAGGATGAGGTTAGGGGTCTCTGAGGTCCAGCAGACCCAGCTCTCCTTCCAGCATTTCTGCACTGTCCACACCCCCATAACTAAACTTTGACTGCTCAGTCCAAATCCTCCTCCTGCAGCTGAGGACACTGAGGGACAGCAAAGGGACAAGCCAGGGTCACCCAGTGGGCTGGTGGCAGAGCAGGCCTGGAAGCCAGTTTGCCCGCCAACCTGATGGATAGATGCCCTGTGTCCTTTCTTACTGCCCTCTTCCCCTTGGCGGGCCTCAACAGTCAGACACGCAATGGCTCCACACCGCTGCACCTGGCAGCCCGGGAGGGCCTGCTGAGCTGTGTCAAGGTCCTGGTGAAGAATGGCGCCAATGTCCATGCCCGAGATGCCATAGGCTGCAAGCCCATCGACTATTGCAAAATATGGAACCACCGCGTCTGTGCTCGGTGAGTGTGTGAGAGCCATCTCCAGCCCTGCCCCTGGGCCCTCACCCATGCAGAGCCTTTGGGAGAGGGGGGAGGGGGGAGCGGGCTGGGAAGCCAGTGGCTGGGGGATAAGTCTTCCCAGGATATTATTCCCAGGGGCTTTCCACAGGCCTCACCCCTGTGGTTTAGCACTGCCTTCCTGCCCCTGGCTCCTCATCAGGAGGGTAGTGATGAGTCCCTCAGACAGTTGCCCCTCACCTCACAGGAAGTAGTTAGCCAGAGGGGCCTTGGACAGCGCGGGTGCATCATGTTGCTCCTCTCGACTCTGGCAGCCCCTCCCATGCCCACCCTGGCCCTCAGCAGCAGCCAGTCTTCCAGGTTGAAGCCCAGTCACTGAGGATGACACGTCCTCACCTGGGCACCAGGTTCTTGAAGGATGCCATGTGGAAACGGGACAAGAAGGACTTTGCCTATGAGATGGGGAAGCTGAAGGGGCTCAAAGGCCGCCTGGCCCTTATGCAGCGGTACTACCTGACTGAGTACCAGGTAAGGCACCGGCATCGGCTGCTACCTAGGCACGTGAGCAGAGGCATGAGTCGCATGTGCCCTTAGTGACGAGATCCCGTCCCATCAGAGAGCCTCCTTCTCCCCCTCCTCTGACTAAAATTCTACCCTGAGAAGCCACTTCTTTAGGTCAAAAGCCTGTCCTGTGGTAGAAAACTAAAGCAGCTTAAATTAGCAAGTATTTACGAGGCCCCTCCCCCCTAGCCCAGTGCCTCCCTCTGCGGAGGAAGAGAATCTCTAACGAGCCCCAGGTCCTGCCTTATTGGGAAGTACACTGGTTAAAAGACCCATCTTGCCCTGACTGGTTCCTCGGTGGTTAGAGCATTGGCCTGCAGACCCAGGGTCTTGGTTCGCTTCCCGGTCAAGGGCATGTACCTCGGTTGCAGGTTCCCCAGACCCAGTAGGGGCCCATGTGGGAGGCAATCAATAGATGTCTCTCTCTTGCATTGATGTTTCCCCCCCGCCCCCCTTCTACTCTCTCTAAAAATCAATGGAAAAAATATCCTGGGGTGAAGATTAATAAAAATATATATATATTCCAACATACTCTCTGCTAGGCACCTGTTAGACCCTGAGGCTCCAAAGACCAATGAAAGTGAGTGAAGTCCACACCCTGGAGCTTAGAGCTTAGTAGAGGAGGTGGGTTATATTCCCACAGAGGAGAAGGGGCTCAGGAGGTGCCAGAAGAATAATACCTAAGAGGAGTCTTTAACGATGGTAGCAGTTGGCCATATGAGGAAGTAGGGAAGGGCTGACCAGGCTGAAGGGACAGGCAGCCCTGTGTTGGGGGGGGGGGGGGGATGGCACAGAGGCACATAGAAGTGTGTATGCCAACAAGTGCAAATTCAGGACAGTCAGGGGTTCCGATGTGACAAGCTAGAGATTTGGCAGGGGCCCAGGTCAATGACAGGCCTTGGCTGGAGAAGAAGTCACTAAAGGATTTTAAGCAGGTTAATTACATAGGATGCAAGAGCCAGAAAACCCAGAAAAGATGCTAAGTGGATCCAGAAGCGGGGAGGGCTTGGGAGCTGGCAAATGGAGGGCTCCGGCCGCACTTCTCTCGTTTGCTCAGCCCTGCCTGCTCTCAGTCCTCAGTCACCTGTGTCCAGAACTGGCAAAGCCCATTGGTTCCTGTGGCTCTAAACTTCCCCATAAGGCCCCTGCAGATCTCCCCTCATCTCTTGTTGGCCTCAGCGGGATCTTATGTCCACTCCTGTTCCCATCCCTCAAGCTGAAGGAAAGCCATGTGCTGACTGACCAAGGTCTGGGGCAAGGCTGATGGAATTATTCCGAGGCTTAGCCTAATCAGAGCCTACCTCCAGAGCTGGGTCAATCTCCAAACCGCCCGATAGCAACAGCCTGGGAAGTGAGCCATGAGACGGGGGGTGGGGAGGGGACAGATCTGTGTTGAGCCAAAGGTTCAATTGTAGTGGAAGCAAGAACAGACAGCTAGACCAAGTGACTCCCACCCAGCCTGGAGAGCCAGCTGTGTCCCCCTATGTGACTGCTTAAGGCCAGCTAACCCCCTCCCAGAAGCCTGCCCAGACTCGCACCACCAGCTCCAGGCCTCCCAAACATTTCTGCTTTCTCCATCCAGGGCCAAGGATGCAACTTGCACTTCTCATAGGCCTTTCCCTCCCATCAAACCAGAGACTCTTAGGGCAGGATATGTCTTCACTACCAATATGGGATCCTCCCTCGAGACTCAAGGCTTTTCTGTAGGGCAGAGACCGCACCTTCCCCCTCCAGCTGAAGACCTCACCTAGGGTGGAGGATAGGTCTCGCCAGATTGGAGCCCCTCAGCTCAGGGGCTCCCTTCGGGCAGTACTTGTCTCCCCATCAGAACAAGGGCTCCCATAAGGCAGGAGATTCTCCCATCAGACTCAGGGCTTCCTAGGGTAGGATGTTGTCGGACCAGTCACCTGAGGTTCCCAAGGGCTATAGCCACAGGGTCTCCTTCCACAGAAGCACAGAGGGAGCAGCCCGCCTCCACTATCTTGTGCCCTCTGACATTGCAGGAAGAACAACAACTTCTGAGACAAGCTGATTTCAAGAAGTGGCTCCATCATAAGCCACTGCCTCGAGGCCAATCTCTGATCCACAGCATTGAGCAAGAGCCCCCAGCCCCTTCCAGGGCCATCCCCGTCTCCAAGACCCCCAAGCTGTCCAAGCACTTCCACCTCTTCCCACAGGAGCACCTGCAACAGACATCACAGCCCAAGCTGCAGCCCTCGGTGTCATCCACACCCCACTACAGGCATCCCACAGTTAGGCAGCCCAAGCCATGGAATATTAGCAACAACCCTGCCAGATCCCCCACCGCCCAGATTGGCTCCCCACAGGGCATCCGCCTGGGTGTGAATCCAGACCCCAGCCTTGAGCACAACTTGAGCGGATTCCTCAAGATCAGGTCTGATGGGCAAGGTGGTACGCACTTGTGCACGGTGACTGGCAAGCAGGTGGCCCCTGTGCCTCGGCTGCCTTTGGAGGTGATAGTCCGTGAGCTGTACCCTCACATGCGGCCGTGCAGGATGAAGGTGCCCCAGGGCTTCCACTCTGTCAGCATACAGGATGTGGACCGGAAGCGGTACTTGGGCGACAACACCTTTTGGACCGACACTCTGGCCATGAACTTACGTGAAACATTTGACGAAGCCTTCCTGGCAGCAGTGCAAGCCCACCAGGGGCTCCCCATTCTGCCCTGCCCCTAACCGCCCCCCCGCCCCCCCCCATAAACCTATTTCGGTAGCCTCTGGAGCTGCGGCAGGCTAGTGAAGGCTGAGGTGTGGTCATTTATGTTGCGGGACAGGGAACAAGGGAAGGAGTGCCCACAGGCTTCCCATTCCCAAGATGAAGGGTCAGAGCCCTGCCCCCCAGCAAAAGCCCGGATCCTTGGAGACCCACCTGAGCGATTCAAATGAGGGCAGCAGCCCAGAGCTCAGAGTGGGGTAGGTCTGTATCCTAGGCTCTGGCTTTGTCCAAGTAACATTTTGGTGTCCCCTTTGCTCCCACCTCCCTCCAAACGGCCCAGCAGGGACAGGCTGAGGAACCACTGGGAGGTCTGCCTCTTGTTCAGACTCAGTCCTTCTACTAGAGACTCCGGGCCTCATGCTTCACCTCCAGAGCCAGATGGGGTGGCAGACGGCTAAGGTGTCACCCTGCCGTGGCTTCCCTGCCACTGTGGTTTCTGCAGGGCAGGGAGGCACAGGGGCATGCGTGGGGGAGGGAGGGAGGAAGGACCATGGCTTTAGTTCGAGACTATGAAAGCACCTGTACTTCCTCCAGGCAGCTAGCCTGCTGTCCGCTGTACACATCACTACAAACCATTCATTAAACAAACGTTTATTGAGTGCTTTCCATGTGCCAGGCACCAAGCTAGGCGCTGTTGATACAAAAATTGAAGGACAGCCCCTGCCCTCAAGGAGCTTACAGTCTAGTGAGGAGATAGACCAGTACACAGGCAAGTAAGCCCACCGTGATGTTTGTGGTGTGCTGGAGTGGGCAGGGGGAGGGGACGTTAACAGCTCCTTGGACGAAGGAAAATCTTAAGTGGAGAACTAACAGAGAAGATGCCCTGGTGGATGGAAGGGGAAGAAAAGTGGCATCTCCGGAGACAGGAGGCCAGGACCCAGAGTGCGAGGTGGTGCATGATGAGGCCAGAGAAGCGAGCAGGAAGCAGGATGCGTGTCTCAAAGCCGTGCTAAGGGTCTGGATTTTGTCCTGAAGGCAGAGGGGAGCTATGGGAGGGTGCAGGCCAGGAAGTGACGTGATCAACTGTGCATTTTAGAAAGACAACTCTAGCTGTGGGACCTAGAAGCCGGAGGTGGCTGTCACAATAACCCAGGTGAAAGTTGATGACGGTGGGAGTGGCTCTACTCTCAAGAGATGTTAAGGAGGCAAACTTGACAGTTTTGAGAGACTGGATGTGGGGGGCAAAAGGAGAAAGCAGGAATAGAAGCAGGTTTCTGGTTTGGCGCCCGAGTGATCTCGGGGCCACAGCAGGTGCCCAAAAGAGGCAGGTTTGCAGAGGGCAGCAAGTGCCGCTGGGCTGTGAAAGGAGCGTGTGCGCCCAAAGGCAGCAGAACCGGTTCAGAAGCCCAGGAAGGGTGTTGGGGCTGGAAGTCAACTCTCACTTCCTTGGCAAAGAGTCAAAGCCATGAGCATGGATGGGCTCCTCCTGGGAGCCCAGGACAGGACCCTGAGAAACCCCACTGTAGGGCGCCTGGAGAAGCCTGCATAGGGCACCGGAAGAAGCCACAGAGGTAGGAGGAGAAATGGCCATACAAATGCGATTCAAGGAGCTGGGGGTGGTCAGCCCTGTCAGATGCTGCAGAAACCCAGTAAGGGGTGGAAAGGGTTCACCGGATTTGCACAAAAAGACCACTGGTAACCCCGCGAGAGCACTGACAGTGGAGCGCATGGAGGAGGTGAAGCCCGAGGAACAAAGAAGAGGACAGGGAGGGAGAGCACTGGCCCAGCAGTGAGGATGATGTTGGCCCCCGGTGTCTACCTTGGCCCCCCTAGTCTGCATAGGATAAAGGGGCCTGGCAATCTAATTCCCGTTGAGAGAAGACCCACGTGTGCTGCTCCTCCCAAGGAAAGGGGAAGGCTGGTATTAAGAAAACAGGAAATGCTAGAGCCAAGGAAGGGAAGGGCTACTGTGGGACTTGAGGCAGGATGTGGAGGAAAGATGTTCAGCACAGGGACTTAAAATACTACGTGTGTGCAGCCCATCGCTGCACCTGCTACCCTCGCTGTGAGGTATACGACATGGCCAGTAATGGCTCTCATGGGGACTTCATTCCGCTATGTAGTGCTGAGTATCTGCAAGGCACTGTAGTTGGAGTGCAAGGTTAACAAATGCTGGTCTGTGCCCGGGACCTCGCCTGCCTGCTTAGAGGCCTGAAGTCATCTCAGGAGCCGAGCACACAGGAAAGGGGGCCAGCCCGTGTGCACTCAGGGACACACGGCTTCCTCCACCAGACCTATTTCTTACAAAACAGGCCGTAGCCCAGACTGCTGGCAGTCAAGTTATGTTTCTCCTTGCGCCTGACATAGAATTCTGCCAGAAACCACTCCTTTTCTCCAGGGGAAGACTTATAAATAGGGTATTGTAGAAGTTGCTCTGAAAATCTAATCCAGTCCCAAACTGCTCTCTCTCTCTCTGGCCCCCGCCTGACAGTCATGGAGCCTTGGGGAAAGAAGAGATTGAAGAAACGGGGGGTGTTGTTTGTGGGGGGGGGGCATAAGAAAGACTGCATCCACCTGCCACTCCCCACCCCCTAACCAGGCTCGGCTCTTCATTCTGCCCCCGTCCCACTAAGGGACATGAGAACAGTCCCTTCAGAAAGGCAAGGCCCAATTCCAGAAAAGGAACCCCTGCAGCCGAAAAGCCCATCCAGGCCAGGGCAGAAGAAAGGAAGATGAACTTTCAGGGTATTAAGGCAACAAGTGCCACCTAGAATCTTTATTCAAACAGGAATCAGACTTGGACAAAAATCACAGTTCAACAGCAAAAACTAGTTCCTGGGAATTGCCAAGCCATGGCCCTGCCCCATGGCCATCTGCCCGAAGACCCTATTCCTGTCTGCTCTCCAGCTTCAAGGCCCCTGCCCTGCCCGCCTCGACTGAGCCAGAGCCTCCTGACCCAGCACGGAAGGGGCGGGCAGGGCCATGGGGAGCTCAGCTTGCAGAGCCAGGTGGACCACGGCCTCCAGCCAAGCAGGCTCCGCCGCCCTCCCTGGTGCCTGAGGTCACGGCCTCTCGCAGCAGCAGATCTGAGCCCAGCTGTGCATCCCGAGGCAGGTGGGGGTGGAGGCTCCAGGGAGGCTTGAAGGAAGTCAGGCCAGGGCTGGGGGAAGGAACCTTCCAGGCTCACAGAGAGGCCCAGGGGCCTGACTCTCCTGATCTCGCCCCAACATCCCCTCCCCAGGGGCGTCAGTACATCTTCTGACGACTGGGTAGAATGGCCTCTTTGATGAAGGAGAAGACAACCAGGATCCCTAAGCGTTTGCCCCGCTTGCCTTTGGTGAAGTAATTGGAGACCACGTCATCTGTGGAGACACAGGCAGGGAGATGAGTGTGTGTGTGTCTGAAAGTGAGCACAGCTCTCTCCACCTGAAACCCAAGTGTCTCGGTCACAGGGCTGGGCTCCGGCTCCCCCCGCCGGCTCAGGCCTTGCTGGCGTCCTCCCACCGAGACCCCGCACAAAGCCCTCTCACCTCCTGGCTGCACGGTGGAGGGCAGGACGTTCTCCCCAGCCGACAGTGACACGAAGAACGCAAACGGGATTATCCATAGACAGAAAGTGAAATAGGCCAGGACCTAGCAACGAGAGACACTGAGAAGAGGGTGCCCCCGGAGGCGCCAAGGGTGGGCGGGGCCTGGCCACGCTGTATCTGAGAGGTGGTCAAGCCGGCACAGAAGCCCCCACACCTGGTCTCTGAAGGGGGCCAGGGCCTGGGAAGCAGAGACAGGACATCCTCGGACATGGAGATAGGACAGTGGGGAAGGTGCGGGCTGAAGATGACTCATGAGCCACTATCCCCAATTATTGGTCGCTAGGACAAGGGACTTCTCTGACCCACACTCCCCAAAGAAGCGGTCTTGTTCTTCCCAGGGGTCCAGACTGCAGTGGCAGGGTGTGGAGAAGGCTTTGGCAGGGCACTGGGGGGAACCAGGGTTCGGGCTGCAGCCCCCCCAACCCATCACACAAGGCCACTCCACTGACCCTTCCTCACCTCCGGGTGTTAGGCTGGGATCCTGGGAGACCCAAAGGACTCACTAGGGGAGGGCGCTGTCTCCCCATCTCAGCCGAAGGGATCCCTGCTCCTCTCCCACGCTGCTTCCTAAAATCATCTCTACTAAGTTTTAAACAACGTGTTATCCCTAAATGGGCTCAATTTCAAAAAATAGCTAGGTTCACAAAGCAAATCTTGCAAGTCCCCTTTATCCTTCTGTCCCTGTTAATAGTTTGATGTACTGAATGCTCCTTACCTCTGAGAAAGGATAATATTCCTCCGCAAAAAACTGAAATGCTAGGTAGTGATTCACCACCACTAGTCCTGTTGAGGGAATGGAGAGGCAGTTAGTCTGGGGGGAATAACATAAAAGCCGGACTTTTAATCTTCAAAAGGCTCCAGGGAGTTGGGAGCCCCGAGTTTTAATCCTAACTTTACACCCGACTCAAAGGCTCAGTTTTCCATTTGTTAAAATGGGCGAGTTAGCCCCCACCCGCCACTGCAGAGGGCATTTATGAGTAAAATTAGGAGGCAGGGAAAGCCCTTGGGATGTTATAAAAAAGAGACTCGGTGTCACATCCTCCAAAGCACTGTTGACAGTTAAGCTGGTTTTCAGCGAGTCCTAGAGAGCTCTCCTGGGGGTAGTGGGTGGAGGAAGTCATGGGTGTGAGGTCACATCCTCCCATGAGATTCCACTCCAAACTTGGCAGCAGGGAGAAGGACGCCTCAAATAAAGAGGACTCCTCAAGAATAAAAGGCCACAGTTTGCTAGACACTTTGGGGGGCAACCTGAGGATTCCTCAACATTCTGGGGTAGTGGGTCTTTCCTTCACCTGCCCCAGGGTAAGGCCCCCTGGTCTGAACTAGTATGTTCTGGACCCCAACACCTCCTTAGTGTGCGGCCGGATTTATGGGGGAGAGAGAGCGAGCAGATCCTGGGGACCGGCTGCTCACAGACAGGCACCCCGGCCTGATCCCATGTGTGGTCAAGGGCGGGCACCAGAACAAAGCATCCCCATGAGCACCCATTACATACGCCTCAGCCACTGGCACGTCTCGTCTCCTCCCTTGCCTCTCCCTTCCAAGGCAGAGACCGCGGCTCTCTGTGCCTAAGCACTCGAGCACTAGGACGGTGCCTGATGCCCACAAAATCTTCAGAAAAACTAAGGCACCTGAAGGGCAGCCTGCTGCTGGGGCAGGAGTTGGGGAAATGGGGTGCAGGACCCTCTTCCCTAAAAAGACGCAAAGGGCCTGGTCTCCAGGGAAGGGCTCCCCAACCAAACCCTGGTGAACAAATCCCTTGGCAAAATCCTACCAAGGCACGCAGAGAAGAGACCAGGTCTGGCTTTTACACTGTGCCCTCCTTGCGGATAATATTCTTCCCAGGCTCTCCCACAGAAATAGAAAAGTCGTTCTATAAAATCCCCAGTTCCATCTGGTCCTGACCGAAGGCTAGGATGACCAGTAATGACTACTGGGAGAAAGGGCAATGCTGGTAACCAGAAGCTTTCCAGAGGTTTTCTGTGAATACCTACAAATATCTCTAAGTCTCTGCTTGTGCCAACTGAGTCTCCTACACATCAGCTTGGAACAAATGGAGGCTAAGGCCCAGAGAGGGGACATGACTCCTAAGGGCCAGGGAGTGGCGGCAGGGCAAAGGCAGGAAGGCCGGGGTCCTCCCAACACATGCGTCAGCCCCCAGGCAGCTGTCGGCAGGGGCCCCCCAGCCCCATGAAACTACAGTCCTAAAGCTGGGCCAGGGGACTGGATGGGGAGCTGCCGCCTGCCAGAGAAGGGCTTTGAGCTTTTCCTGAACAAGTAGTTTCTCAGGGGCTCTTAGTACTCAGCAAGCCCACCTTTCTCTCTTCCCAAACCTTCTTCATACTTACCTCCCCGAGAAAGCCCTCCCTGTCTGAGTATCCCACCCCCCTCCACTCCCACCAAATTCTAGTCCCTGAGTCCAGGTGGGCTCTAGGCTTCTCCCATGTGTGGAGGCCCCCGACGCTTCGCCTCTTTTCCCTAGAACCCCTTCAGTGCCATGAGCTGGGCTGGGCACATCCTCTACCTCAGTTGCCTCCTCAACTCTGCCCCCCTCTCACCGCACGACAGGATGAAGTTAGGCGAGGTCAGCATGATGAAGGGGAAGGTCTGGAGGAGGCCAAAGTAGACGAGGTTGGTGAAGAGGCCCACGCCAATCATGCAGGTGGGGAAGCGCTCAAAAACGTAGAGGCCAATCAGCACAGCTGTGGAGAACTGAAACGACCAGAGGCACACAGTGCAGGGAGCCTCTTCCAGGCAGCCTTCCTGGACTCATTAGCCCCCAGCCCACTTGGGGCAACACTAGGTTCGTGCTTCAATCTCACCTCATTTCAGTCACAGGTCTGATCTCCCCACCTAGCCTCTCGGGTGGCAGCTTTAAAGGGTAGCATCTCTCAATGCCATTCTCAAAATGTTTGACGGCAACCCACAGTAAGAAAACGTTTTCACTGACCCCAAAACACACGTACATATATATAATCAAATTTCAATTCTAGTCTTTTCTAGTCCACCTTGTATGCTAATCATGGCCAAATGAACTGGTAACACAACCCAGTAATGAATCGTACCTGCAGGATGAAAACGCTGTTCTGAAGGACTTAGTTGTCGGTGTTTAACGAAGAACAGTTGGTTAAGTGAAAGTCAAATTCCGGTACCACACCCATGAGCGGGACCTCTGCACCCAGGGCTGAGAGCCACCACTTGTCTCCACCACCAACTCCCTACCTCAGGCCAAGCCCAGAGTGGAAGTGGCTGCTGACACCTGGTGACCTGATAGGCACTGGGCTCCTGTCCACATGTGCTCCCACCCCCGTCCCCAGATTTCCTGCAGTTGGCAGGATTCTATCCACCAGCAGTCACCCCTGGGGCTGTGACATAAAGGCTTTGTGTCTTCAGAAAGAGAAACTTTCTGCAAGACCTGGGGAGGGCAGGGCCTGGGCCAGGGAAGGTATCTCCCTCTTAGGACTAATCCCTTGACCCAATGAGCAAGCACTCAAAACTGTCCTTAAGGTTCCTCTCAGTTCTAAGTGCTGTGAGCAGAGCAAGGGGCCAGGACAGTGGAAGGCAGCCAAGCAAAGGCAAAGCCACGGTCCTGTCAACGGAGAATGAGCACTCAGCTGTCACCTCAAGGCACAGAGAATGGGGTCTGCAGTGAAGCAACGGGACTTGGGGAAGGAGGCAAAGACGTGGGCCCAGGAGAGCAGACCCAGGGAACAAGGAACAGGGCAAGGCACGGGGCTGGCCCCCCCCGCCACAGGAAACAGCAGGGACCAAGGTCTCAGCACCCATGCCACACTTGCCCCGCTCCTTCTTCTGGAGGCAGGGCAGTAGGTGAGGGTGGACCCGGGGGAAGAGGCCACTTACCCAGATCATGTATTTGATGATCCTGCTGGTGGCCACTGTGTACTCTTCTATCAGTTCCGCCAGGTAATAGAGTCCGGCCGCTGGGGGGGACAGGAAGAGGAGCAAGCAGAGAGAACATTAGCCAGGGTCACTCCCACCATCACCGTCACCCCTTTCTCTGCAGCCGGGTCCCCATTACCCCTCATGGACTCCAGAAGTCAAGGAACAAACCAAACAACCCATGTGTTGCCCTCCAAAGTCTGAAGAAGTAAAACTAAGGAGAGATTTCATGGAAGGGAAACCTGTATCAGATGCCTTGGCACTCTGCTAACCTCTGACCCCGTAAAGAGGAAGTTCATTCGCTCATTCAGTAAATATATGGGCCAGGTGCTGGGCCCAGTGCTGCGACTGCAGTAAAGACTATGTCCCTTTCTGACCCAGCTAGGGGTGGGCGTGGGGGTAAGGGTGTGT